TCTCTCCATTTCAGGAGATAGGAGAGAAAAAAGAAACAGGCAGGGGAATTTGGGGGTCTTACCAAGGCTTTACAAAGTGGTATTAACACTTCATATGATACGTATCCCCATAGTAGTTTGCTTACTCTCTTCTAATCCCTTTCTCTGCAGTCTCTCTACTCTAATAGGTAGGAGAAAGGGAAAAACAACAGGCATGGCTAGCAGGGGAATTCCGGGAGTTGAAGTCCACAAATCTTCAAGTTGCAAGGTTGAGGGAAAAAACAGTGACTTTGTCCCCTTCATCTTACACACAAATACACACAGACACACAAACTTACCCTCTCTAGAGTGATCTCTTCATATTCCATCTCGCCTTCGGTTCCATTTACCTGGGGATAATAATAAAAAAAGGAAAAATATTGCAGTCAAAGAGGTTGGAGGAAGCAGGTTGGGGGAGGGGGTGGCATGCAAGGTCAGGGTTGGGGGGGCTGGCCAGAGGACCTGGGGAGGCGACGGAGTGAACCTCTGGGGGCAACTCACATAAGCTGGTGGTTCTAATGTGTCAGTGTTGACAATGACGGGTGGAGAATTGGCCTGGAGACAGACAGACAGACAGAGAGAGAGAGAAAGGGGAAGAAAAGAGAGCAGGGGGCAAAATTACACATCGCTTAATCTCCTGCAAGGGTCTTCGGCAGGACTTGACTTGCAAGAGCCTGGGAGACCCCCCAACGCAGAGTACTTATTCCCCCCACCTATCCACCCCTCGTGCATGCCCCCCAGAACCCCCCCCCCCCACATCTAGGCCTTCTCCCCCACCCCAAATCTGCATCCTCCCTTCCATCAACCCCACGCGCGCGCGATGCAAACCAGGGAGGGGAGAGGGAATTTCCGTAGCCAAAGGAGGGAGGGGGGGGGAATTAAAATAAACACGGCAGAGATTGGGGGGGGGGGGGCGCGGGGGGGGGGGGGGGTGCCGGGGGTAGTAGGTGGGGGGGGGGGGGGGGTCCCCGATTGTGGGAAGGAAGGCGGGGCAACGGGAAGGCGGGAGGGATGAGATAGGCCCAAGGGAATGCCGATTTGGGACTGAGCTCTGCCTGTGTGTGTGTGTGTGTGTGTGTGTGTGTGTGTGCGTGCTGCCAAGCGGTTTTGGCCTGGAATCCAAGTGGGCTTAAGTCCTCCCCTCCATTCCCACCCACTCACCTCTCCCCTCCACCTTCCATTTTGCATATTTTGGCTCTTATTCTTCCACCTCCGGTGGCCGCTGACAACGGTTGCCGTGGCAATACCCTGACAACAGCATCCCTCTCTCTCTCTCTCTCTCTTTGGGGAATGCAAACAAAGAGGACTGGTCCTCAGGTAGGAGGGGGGGCCTCACACCAGCCCCCCTCCCTCCCTCCTCACCTGAACTATATGTTATTGGAAGGGGCCAAAATGACCCTGTTGATCTGTCGGCAGGCGGGCATGGAAAGATGTCAACCGGGCCGTTCCAACCCCCGAAAACCTCTTCGGGTGTGTGTGGGGTGTGTGTGTGTGTTTGGACTACAACACCCATTGCTCCCAGCCGGGGTGGATGGACGTTGGGAGAGTGCAACGTCCTATGGGCGGGGAAGGCTGTATTTTTGGCAGAGGTTTGCCTCTGGAAATGCCCGTTGGAAATCATCTGGCGGATGCCACAAACCATGATGGTGATGTCAACGTAGCCATTATATCATCCTGGCTTGTGACCCAGGGTGGTTCTTATGGGTGCGGGGGGGGGATTCACAGTCTTAAGGCTGGGGGGGGGGGTGGGGGAGTTAATCATTCAAGGCCAAACCAAGGAAATTAAGAATTATGAAGATAGCGCCAAAGAATTATTATATAAAGGCCATTCTAAGCAAGGTTGGGGCTGGGTTTTTTTTTTGGGTGGGGAGGGGTAAAATTAGGAGGTTCAGGCTGATAAATTCAATATTTCTAGATAGAAATTCTTTAGGTATCATTATCAGGATAAAAATGGATTTCTCCCCATTTATAATTTTCTATCTGTAAGTCCTGATAGTTTGCCACTTATTTCAGGTTTGTTTCATTAAACCTTACAGCACCTAGCAACAGTGCGGTCGAATGATTAATGAAACCAGGAAACTGGGAGTTCTAGTCCCGCCTTAGGCACGAAAGCCAGCTGGGTGGCTTTGGGCCAATCACCAGGAGAATGGGAGTTCTAGTCCCGCCTTAGTCACGAAAGCCAGCTGGGTGACTTTGGGCCAATCACCAGGAGAATGGGAGTTCTAGTCCCGCCTTAGGCACGAAAGCCAGCTGGGTGACTTTGGGCCAATCACCAGGAGAATGGGAGTTCTAGTCCCGCCTTAGGCACAAAAGCCAGCTGTGTGACTTTGGTCCAATCACCAGGAGAATGGGAGTTCTAGTCCCGCCTTAGGCAGGAAAGCCAGCTGGGTGACTTTGGGCCAATCACCAGGATAATGGGAGTTCTAGTCCCGCCTTAGGCACGAAAGCCAGCTGGGTGACTC